AATACTTCATTATCATGTTTTTATTATTAATATCTTTATATCTTCTTATATCTTGTTCTTGTTTCTCATCAATTAAAAAAACATAAAAGTTAACTCATTACTTTTAATTTTTTATTTTTGTTTCAAATATCAACTTATCTCTCTTCTTTATTTGAAATTTTTTAAACTACTCAAATAAAATTTTTTAAATATATAAATTTTGAACATCAAATTTGAAATGAGATATTTTAAATATAAAATTTATATCCAAATACACATAAATAACAATCACACACGGGGGAGTATACATTAATTTGAGCAGGAGATGAGAGAAAAATACTTAAATAGATTGAGTACACTATGTCATTTGTAGTCTATTCAATTAAAATACTTTAAATAAAATTTTGTATGATATTTTTAAATTAATTTTATTTTTATAACTTAATGCATATTTAATTTTTTTGCTTTTTCTCTCTCTATTATTATTATTATTAAAATTAATTTATATTTAATATTACCTAAATGTTATATTTTAACTAGACATGCCACAAATGACATGATACTCCCAATCAACCTAAATATTTTTTGAGGATAATAATACCTTTAAATTTTTTAAGATACCAAATAATAAAATAAAAAACAAAGAAAAAAGGATAAGTATTCGCACAATAGTCAAAAAAAGAAAAGGATGTTAACTTATCACATTAATTTTTGTTTTAATAAAATATAAAATTTGGCTTGACTAAAATCAAGTTTCATACTTTCATATTTAAAAAAAAATTTTGAAACTCGATCTGTATGAAACTAAAATCTAAATTTTGAGTATGTGAAAAAATATTTTTAAAAGTGTAACGTATAGGTAAATATATATATATATTTTTTTTTGGTAGTATTGCAGTCAAATTGCCTCTCCACACCATTACTCTTTCATGAAAGCCCCCGTTCATCTCGGCCAAATCCTTCGCTGCCGCCGTTGACACCTACTCTGTGAAGCAAGCGATTTGGGGAGTCGGCCACCCCTTCACTCCATGAGAGTGAGAGAGAGAGGCGACGAAGGTAATAGGTTTCATAGCGGCGTCGGAGAAAGGAGGGATCTGGGTATACAACTGCGCTTGGAGAGAAGATTTAGATCTTTGAAAGGGAAAACATGAAGACTTCACACAGATTTTTTTCGTTTTTAGATTTAGATCTTTGTTTTCTGTCAGGCAAGTGGATTTCTCGGTGGCTGTTGTGAAGGAGCAACTATGGTCATCCTGGATTTCTCGTTGGATTCTGCCCGAGGAATTGTTGACGGAAGTGGTAGTAGAGTACATAGCTTCGAGTTAAAGGGAAACGATTGGAATTGGAGTGAGACGAATCAGCATTTTAAAATACCTAGGATTTCTCCAGATTAATCCAAACGAGATGGAAGCCAACGGAGAAACTCAGTTTTGGGGACTAGAGCGATGGAGAGAGCAAGTTTCCAGTTAAGCAAATATTTTGTACCCTCTATTTTTTTTTTTTCTCTCTCCACTTTCTCTTCACTTCTCATCTCAACCGTCAAATTCATTTTTAAAATAATTTTATAAAATATAATTTTATAAAATATCAAATCTCAACCGTTCAAAAATAAATTTGACGGTTGAGATGAGAAGTGGAGAGGAAGTGGAAAGAAAAAAAAATGAAGAGAAGCCAAATTCAAATATTTTATCCAAAAAAAATAAGGTGAAAGCCATAAGTATGCCACAAAAGCATAGTTAATCAACTAACTAACAATTAAATGTCAGAGGCAAACTCAACTTATGATGCACCAATATTTTAAATTACCTCACATATCGATGTCATATTTAATATCGATACTCATTGATACTTCTTTGATGCAAATCCATAAAGTATCAAAATATTATTTTTTTAATTTAAAAAAATTAATTTTCAATACGCATCTAATACTTTAAAATTATGAGTCTTTTTTTTTTTTTACTCCATTGAAGATAGCTAAATATTAAATCTTAAATCTTGATAGGTGATGTATGATCCTTCAACCCCTTTACTTCAAAAGCTTGCTCTTAAGCTTCTTGTGGAACCATGCTTTTTATCATCTTGTGAAAGGAATGGAGTACCTACTCATCCAATGAAAACAAGTTGAATCCTAAAAGGTGAATGCCCATACTAATCTGCGACTCCTGATTAGAAAAAGTGAAGAATATAAACAAGGCAAGTTTAAGATGTAAGATATTAGTGGAGATGAATGGAATGATCTTAATGTTACTGAAATTTTAGGAATGACAAACTTATCTCTTGATGAACCATATATGGAAGCTATCTTTTTTTTATAGATGATGGTTTAGGAGAGAAGATATTGATACTATACCTATTAGTAAGAAAGGTAGTAAGTAATTAGGTATAAATTAAATAAAAGTACAATTAATGATTATGTTTTTCTTGGTATTACTATAAAGGACTATATGTTGGATTGGAGGGCACAATGAAAAATTAAAATCTCTAAACCCCAATCATAATAGTAGACCGATCAAATTTGTTTAAGTCAAAGTAGACAGAAAAAGTACCTTTTATATGTCAAACTTTCAAACTTCCTTAAAGTGTTTAAACCTCAGGAGCTAACAACACAAATTGGCTCCCTTTACCGATATCCACACTAATGGCTTTTCAACACAAACAATATGCTAACACTCTCAATAACTCACCGTCTATACAAAAGCTTTGGAAAATATGATCTTGTGGCCTCAGTCAATCGTGCCCCCCTTTTTTTCCTCTCTCTAAGGTATTTTTATGGTTGTCAAGAATTTTGTCGTCAAGAAGTTTGTCTTTGTAAGGAAGCTCGTCCCTCTTTATATTATATAGTTTAGGGTTTTTGTCTTCCCTTATGAATTTTTAAAAATAATCACAATTATTTCAAAAATTATGTCTTATCAATTATTCCTAATTAATTAAAATAAATTGAGAAGAGCAATGAAATATAATTTAATTTATCTCATAAATTAAATCTATGATACCATATTTTATTTAAATTTATCTCATAAATTTAAATTATAAAATTGATATGATATCTTCTCATATCATGTTAGTTATTAAATTTAATTTATCATATAAAAGCAAATTTAAAACTAATACAATATTATAATATAATTATATATATAATATATATACGCACACACAAATATATATTTTGAATTTTATATTATATATACATTAGATAAATATTCAAATACATACATACATACATACATATGTATGTATGTATGTATGTATGTATATATATAATTCGTTCATCCTAGATAAAACATTATGTTCATTAAATCTAGACATATTCCAGATTCAATGAATTTGAACATTATAGCTCGAGTTGGGTTGTTCTTGTGTGTGATCCTATAAGCCCATATAAAGTTGACAATAGGCCAATAACACTACTAGCCACTAGTCACAAGTTACAAGTGACTTCTAGTACGACATTGCAATTATCTAATTCATATAGAGATCAATAATCCGATGTAACTTATCATATAATCATATCACGTCCTTTTTATCACACGATATTTCGATCAAGTGTAAGACATAAAATTATCATTCTTTTTTACCTGACCATTACTTTCTCGATATCTGAGTAGACTGATTATAGCAATAAAAAAATCTTTTTCATTATAGTATGGCCATACATTTTCTCAATTTTACTTATTGAGAGGCCTAGTAATACCTCTCAATTAATGTGAGAGACAAATTCTATCTTGACAACTCATATTCCTCTACATGAATATTACTAAATTCAATCACAACCTTTATAATCACTTAGTTAAAGGTGACTTTGACTAAGTCAAAGTTCAATAATTATTATGTAGGAATCCATGACGATCTCAAGTCAAAGGGTTTAGTGACATGATTACTTATAAGACAAGCTTATGACTTGTACCATGCAACTTTCTCAGAGTAGGTCGGCCCAACACCTTGTACCGTTTTAAGTGCCTACAACTTTGATTTATAATTACTCCAAGTCATAATAGTCTTGTTTCATTTATAAACCCTCATAGATAACCGACCAAAAATATTTAGGACAATCACTATAGTTTATTCAATGATACAATTATCATAGTGAACATGCAATTAATATGATAACAAAAAAAATTCATTAAATAACAATGTTCATAGTACAATGATTAACACTAGAGCATATTTTCTAACACTATATATGTTTGCTAGTTTGGATATTTTCTAATTTGAAATTATATTTTTATAATTTTTTATAAATATACATGGATGCATTAGGACCTATATTTTTAAAAATAAAAGTATCAAGGTTTGGATATGTACTCGTATCAATATCCCTGTATCCTAGAACTCAACTATAAATTAATGATATCTTTTAACGTTAAAAATCTCTTCCCTTATTATCTTGTTGTCAATTCAGTTGTTCACTACTATTGAGCTCCCCATTCAATTTTTAATATTTTTTATTATAAAACATTCAAGTTCAGGGTGTCTATTAACTCTTTGAGGAAAAGTTGAGAGACAAAATTAACTCTTAACTCAATATTTTATAATAAAATAATATTTAAAAAATTTGAATGTAAGATCTACTAACTATGAACAAACAGTGAGTTAATGATAAAGTGACTAGAAAGGAAGTCTTTAACATTGAGGAAATAATTGAGCTATAGTTAGGTTTAAGATGCTCAATGATCTTTAGGTAAAATTGAGGGGTATAAATGACCTTTAACCCTTTTTTTAAAAACATGAGAAAAATCCTCAACTAACATTGAACATTAATATTAATCTTTCATAAGGTATGGAAGGTAAAAAAACATATTCTTGGAAGCTAATTCTAAATCATCATCCCACTTATTTAAAGAACGAGAGTTAAATTGGTCTATTAAGTCAAATCTATTATGCTTTAGTCAGGATTACACTCAACAAATGAGATTAATGATTCTTATGATATTCATGATAAAGAAATTACCATGGCATGACATTGTCCTAGTCTGTTTTGTAATGGACTAAAGAAAAGAAATTTGTCATTGAAGAAATCCAAGTTAATAAAACAAAGAAAACGAGACAAGAAATTTATTTTAGCCCGCAGAAGCAGGACACAGATACATTACATTCAGCTTTCTTCAAATATCAACGAGGAAAGATATAGATTAAATCAATCAACAAATATAACGTGAAAACAAAACAACATTCAAGAGTTTCAATTTTTGAAAGTAGGGGGCCTCCTGATCCTAGTTGCTTGCTCAAACCCATAAGCAATTTCAATAAGCTTTGCATCAGAACCCTTCAATCCTCCAAAGTTAATGCCAAATGGAACTCCTTCACTGTCATATCCTGCTGGCACATTCACTCCTGGGAATCCTCCAATCGCTAGAACAGGGGAGACCCTGGATCCAGGGGTCACCAATGCATCAAGTTTATAATCTCTCATCAATTTTTCAAACCCTTCTCTTGATAATCTTGCCAAATTGGCCAATGCTGCCTTCTCAGTATTTCCAATTCCATTTGTTGCTTCAGATGCCAAGATAATATCCTGACCGAATTCCTTGATCCTTTCCTGCAGGGTTCATACTCGATTATGAATGGATATTGTTCATATTCATTGAAAGGGACTTGATCTTTAGTAGGGAAAAAAAAAAAAGACTTTTGTTATACAAACCAGATCAGCATTCTTGATGTTGAAGGCAATTATATCTGCCAATGATCTTACTGGTGAGACAATCAAGTTCTTGAGATATGCATTAAGGGATAGTTTGAACTCGGCTAATAGTGCCACCGCTTCTCCACTTTTGTTTGGATTTAAGATGGTATTAATGTTTGCTATTTCAAGATTATCTATTACTGTCGCTCCTTCTTCCCTACATTTCTCAGAAAATTACAAGTGGTGCTATAACAATGAGTACAATATATAAATTCTGTAAAAGCTTAAGTGATGGTTGGTTACCTTAGGGTTTGAAAATGCTTCTCAAAAGCGAGAGTAATATCGGTGTCATTCAAAAGACTAAAGAATGGGTTTCTTACTATTCCCAATCTCTTCCCTTTCAGCCCATAACGGTTAAGATATCTTTTAAAGCCACCCTGGGGAACATATTTTGACCAAGTTCTAGTTTCAGGATCATTATAGTCTGGCCCTGCAATTACGTCAAGAACATAAGCAGCATCTGATACAGTCCTAGCAAGAGACCTGCCGAAAAAAGAAAAAAGAAAAAGATGTAACATGCTTAAAGAAGTTTAAAGTCTAACTTCATCTAAATCTACAAATCATTCTCTTGAAAAATCAAACTCAAGTTGAAAGAGGAAACAATACAAAGCAAGAATATAACTCTTACCCAACAGTGTCCTGTCTGGGAGAGATAGGAATAACCTGGTCTCGACTAGTGAGTCCAATTGTTGGCTTTATGGCTACTATAGAATTAAAACTTGCTGGACACAAAAGTGACCCATCCGTTTCTGTTCCAAGTGACACTGCAACCATATTAGCAGTAGTCGAAATTGCTGATCCACTGCTTGACCCACATGGATTTGCAGACAATACATAAGGATTCTGCATACCCACCAAGATTTTGATGCAAACAACGTTAATCATACCATGTCTCATGCTCATGACACTTAACAACAAATCGTAAGAGGACGAAAAGATTGACACAAACCTTTCCTTGGCCGCCTCTGGCACTCCAACCATTAGGAAGAGTAAGAGACCTAAACGAAGCCCACTCAGTCATGGTTGCTTTTCCCAGTATGATAGCTCCAGCTTTCCTCAACTTTGAAACCACACCAGCATCACGAGGCAGCGTCGAGCCAAGCAAAGCGAAGGAACCAGCAGTGGTGTTAAGTTTATCCTTGGTTCCAATATTATCCTTGAGCAGAATTGGAATGCCATGCAATCCAAACAGGGACTCTGGTGCTTTGATCATGCGCTCGTAATCAGCCTTACCAGCTTGATCCAAGGAATCTGGGTTCACCTCTATCACGCCCTTTAGAACTGGGTTCAGTCTCTTGATCTCTCCCAAATAGTACTCAACCAGCTTCCTGGAGGTGAGTTTATTTTGCTTAAAAGCCAATTGGATCTCATCAATGGTTGCTTCTTTAATGGAGAACTCTTGTATCGAAATGGAGTGTGACCCAAGTGATAATATGATCACGAGAATTATCTGCATTATTGAGATGCCTTGAGGCGTTAATGTGGTAGCCATCAAAGCTCTAGTTGTTCTATGCCAATTTTGCAGCACTGCCCGGCTATTTATATCCCTTGGAAGCATAAAGTAACGTAATATTTTTAAAAATTAAAATAGAGCTCGCGTTGGTCTCTTTCATGCATGGACCAGAGAAGGAATCTATTAATTAATCAACATCTTTGTGTATAGATTACGGCAGATTCTTAAAGTTGCATGGGAACATTCAGAAAAAATTGGGTGGTAGAAATATTGTACGAGTAATGAGACATTAGCATATATTGTTGTACCAGAATAACATGCGAAAACAAAAGAAAATGTTGAAATGACTCGTTAAGTAATGCATTAGCCGGCATTTAATTACTAGTCAATGTTTGTTTTTTTCTTTAGTGGGATCTTTCTCTGGAGATTATCATTGATCCTCCAAATGGAGGATTTACGAAACATTTGCTGTTATGTACTGTAGTTTGTCTTCAAAACCGTCATTTACAGAGGGTACATACAGGTTTAAACTATAATTGTAAGTTCCTAATTCAGGAAGACTTTTGTGTACACGCAGGTTTAAACTATTATTTAGCCAATTTATATATTTTGAACATTAAAATATTTTTAAATATGTCAAAAACGTCAAAATGCATATATTAAAATTATTTTTTCAACCTGAATGTTTTTGCATTACATTTATGTTAAAGAATAGTATTTTGATCCAAGATAGGTGATTTAATGATCAATTAACAATTGGTTAGATGAAAATTGAATGTTAAAACAACAGAAATACCCATACCATATAATTTTTTATTTTTGAAAATGTTTATATAAATTTTAAAAATAAAAAGAAAGGCTATATGATTAGGATTAAAAAAGGCTGATGTTTTTTAGTTATGCGTTCATGCTTATATGTTACATTGATGATTCATGATTGATAGTTAACAACTAATTAATAACTAAATATAGAAGTTCAGTGGTAAAAACTAAATATAATATATATATATATATATATATATATAACTCAATTCCGTGAGAGGATGTGATATCAACAAAAAATTAGTAATTCATTCAATTCATTGAATAATAAATAAGCATCGAATGTAGGAGAAAATTAAGAAAATATTATTTTAAAAAATAAATGTCACGAAGATTAAGAAACGCTGTGAAAGCGAAACTACAGTTAACTTTAGCAACAATGATTTTGCTATATGTGCGAGCGTTTATAGATTTGCAGTATGTTGAGCCTTTAACTTTAATTAATTTGCTAAATTCATTTCTTGAAGATCAGGCAAAAAAAGAATTTATGTAAATCCAAGAATCATGTAATAGGGATAAAATCAATTATTTAACAATCAAAAGGCTCGAGTATTTAACTTCTAACATTTCAGAAGGACTTTTGAAAATTTTAAGAATTTAAAGTTGTTTGATTTTTTAAAATTGATTTCAAAAATCCTTTCAAAGCTTTTGAAAGTACTTTTTTTTTAAATATAATATGGAAAAACTTTCATGACATGACTTTTATTTTTCTTATATGATCATAATACCCATAATTTTTATAAAAAAAAAATTACATGCAAGTTTTTGAGGGATCAAATTAATAAAAGTTTGATTGCCAACAAAATTTTTTAAAAACTATTATAACAAGACATTATATAAACTAAATAATTAATCATGTTAATTTTTAATATTAATATTATTAAATTATTTAAATAATTTTTATTCAATAGGACTAACTTTATATTTTTATATCCTTATTATTCAATATTAATGAACATTAATAAATATTGAATTATTTATTATATAATTTTTTTATATTAAATTTTATATTTTATATTTTTAATGTTTAACATGTTAAATTTTATGTCATTTTAAATTTTTTTCATATTTTCAAACATTAACTATAACATATCACATTTGTATAAAAAATTATAAATTATTATAAATTAACATTATTTTTTATCATTACATAAACACATTTTAAAAACACAAATCATCATTAATTTAAACTTTTTATTTAACACACAAACTTTTAAAAATATATATTCAAATAAATTCATTACAATAATTAATTTTTATTAAACTAACTTTTATCAAATAAATTTTCAACAAACTAAAAACCCAACCCAACCAAAGTCTTCGATCATAACAAGTATTTGGAGCCCTTGAAGCAATATCTAAAACTGGAAAACTGCCTCCATTCCAAGCGAATAATTTCGCATATTCATTGATCAAAATCCTCAAAAGTTCATATCCATTAGAAAGGTACACGTCACCGGGTACATGGCCAACCACAAGCCATCAAATACTGGATGGAAAACTACACTTACAACCAAGTTCGCTCTCTCTTTTCTCACGAAAGTACAATGGCTCGTACGTTTTATTGATATATTTGATACCTATTAATGTTAAAAATCTCATTGCATCATATGTTAAAAAAAGTATAGCTTGAAAAACTAAAATCGCTCCATGAATTAACGCTACACTATTTTCTCAACGACTTTTCCGATGCAAATTCAATGTTATTGATTGGCGCCCGAGATGCCTAACCTTCGTACCATTTATTGTATCCCAAAAACGGAAGAAAGAAAGAAAGAAAAATGCCATTCACTAGTTGTAATAGATCATGATAACACGGTTACAAATCAAATCAGAACAAACCATGGGAGACATGGTCAAGGATATGACAATCTAATTGTACCAAGAACAGAAAAGTTATTAAACCTTGAAAAACACAAGCCAGCAGTTTACCAACAGCTCACACACTCTTTTGGCTAAAACTAAACAACACACAGTACACTTCATAATAATCAACATGTCATGATGAAAATGATACTGACATCTATAACCAAGTTTTGTGGAATACAAGGAAACCTAACATGATGAAAAAGAACAAAACAACAAACAAATAATCTCGCCAAAGCACTGGAAAATTTGTCGACAGCACAGACTACGTCTGCAAAACCCAGCAATGAGATTTTGCACATAACAGAAGTTTATACATTAAATGGTGAAAGAAAATAAAAATTACTGCTGCACTTAACAAAAAAGCCATAAAAGCTACAAGACTACCTAAGTTATCATAATAACTAACAAAATTTTATCATTTCAGTACTGTCTCACAAAGAAAAGGCCGAAGTCATGGTGACACAACTTAATTTTGGCGAAAAACTAAGGTCTAACATTCCCACATACCTTTCCAACTCTTCCAAAAATGTGCAGGGGCAAAGGTGATTCACAGCTCTTCAGCTTTCTTCAACATGTCCATTTTCAACTTTCTCGGCACTGCAGTGTAAGAAAATTGCAAATGTAAAACTAGTCTAAAGATCAATAAGCAACAAGCAGGAACTTTGAAGATTTCCCCAAGGAACTAAAACAGGCTGCCAAAAACACTCAGCCTACATATAAGCAATCAAGACATATAGGCTCATAAACTCTATGTTCTTAAAATTCATCTCAGCAGAAGGAAAATATGAAGGATCAAAAACATTGTCAACAAGTTATGTTCAACACATGGGAACCAGCACAAGGTCGCCGAGTCAAATGTAGCAGAACCTCCAGCTAAGGTTAAAAACAAGATCATGCAGAGAGAGCAATAAAAGAGAATTCATAACTTTAAGATGCTAAAATACTAGAACATAAAAAAGACCATAGAAAAAGTCCCACCCATCAAAAAGAATCCCAAATAATGGCTTCCAAAACAGACCAGTAATAATAAGTACATTCCTCAACAGGCAGAACAACAACCAATGTGCAATATACAGAACAGCATATAGCCAACTTATAGAGGCGGAATATTCATGAAAAGCCAAAAGAGTAGCAGCATATTAAAACCAGCAACACAACATGGCAAAAGAAGATTGCATAATCCAACTCGAAAAGGTCTCGAGCTTCGTGACAGCGTAAAGGAAGTAAAATCATGCACGAAGGAATCAACACGGCCAATCATGAACAAAGAATGATAAAATTGCTAAACATTAGTAACAATTAAATTACTAAGTTGACAAACCTATTTGGACGACTATTGTCAGATTCAGCCTTCCTCCAACTTCTCTCAGAACAATCATCTGACAAATTAGAACGGCCATTGCCAGTCCCAAAACCCCTCTTCCCAAACCCATCCTTTTGCTCCACCGTGTCCTTAATCTTCATTGTCTCAAGTTGTTCATCAATCTTCTTCCAATCCTGCCCTTTCTCCGCTAAAACCTCCTCCCTTGGCCTTGCCTCTCCGAAAGGACTTGGGCCTTTGGGCTTGGTCACGGTCCCCGAGCCCTCCTGGTTTCCATTGTTCACAGTCATTGATCGACGTTGCAGAACAAGTCTCGGTCTAACACTTCCAGACTCACTTCTCTCATTTCCACCGTTGGATTCCACCTTCTTCCTGTTCCAATCATCCGAATCTGCACCACCACTGGAACCGAATCCAACTTTCCTTTCTCTTTCAAACCCACCACCATTAGAACCAAACCTCCGTCCCTCTGATGGCACAAAGTTCTTCTTCGATGCCCAACTGTCCGATTCGTCGGCTCTGGAAGGAGAATCAAAATATCGTCCTCTATCCCTTTCCCTCCTCTCGAATCCGTTTCCTACGGTAGTTTTTTTCGCAGCAGCCCAATTATCTATTTCATCGGCTCGCGAGGGGGCCATATCCCGATTTGCTTCCCTACCAAACGAACCGTTCCGCCTTGGCTCATCAGAAACCCTAGAAGAACCCCATCGAGAATTGGAGGAATCATCGCCGCCGGAATTCCTATTAGGCCGGTCATACGAACCATATGACCTAAAACCACCGCCGAGTCGACTCCTGTCACGGTCAAGCTCCTCGGCTGTTCGCTGGCGAGGACCTGTTGGCAGCATCATGAGATCTTCATGCGTTAAGACATCGGATTGAGAGGTCTGGGCCGGTTTAGCGCCTCCATAGAGGAGAACTCAGCCAAGGAGAGGGTCTGGCCTTTCTTCTTCTTGGATTTAGTTGCAGCGGCAGCGGCAAGAGAAGGAAAGGCAGCAGTGTTGTCTTCTTCCTTCTGATGACGAAGCTCCTCTTCGTGTTCCTCGGAATCCAGGGCCCAGGCTCCGGGCTTTGCCCAGGCAGATACAGTAGCCGCCATGATTATGGCTGGGTTAGCCTCACTCTCGTGCGTCTCCCTCGAAACTCTGGTTCGCCCTCTCTTCGTTGCTTGGCACCAAAGCTAGGTGATGAGTTTATGTATATGTATATGTATATGTATATGTATATATGTATTCTTGTATGTATATATACACCCGGAGATCAAACGGTGGAGAATGAGGTTGCAAATTGTACAGACGGTCATAACACCGTGTTTTGGAGACCGGTTTTTCGTTTTTAGAATAAAAAAATAAAAAAAATTGCCTTGTAACGAATTTTTAAAAATATTTTTGAGTTTATTATTCTAAAAATAAAAAATTATTAAAATAATTTTTATTTTTAAAACATATTTTATGAAATATCAATTCTTTTTTTTTGACAATTATAAAATATTAATTTTTAAAATAATAAAATAAACATTTTTGTGTAAGGTTTTTGGGCTTGTCACAGATTTGAGTCAGAATAGGAAAGCTTAGAGAGAGAATTTTTGAGCTGTCAAAAACAAAAACAAAAAGAATCAGAATTGGAAAGCTTAAAGAGATAAGTTGTGACTTGTAAAAAAACGGGGAAAGTTCAAAGAAAAATTGAAATATCATGACCACAAGCAGACATTCGAAAACGCGCCGCCGGATTCTAAAAGCTGGTTTTTGATAGGTTCGAGTTTATGTAAACGAGTTTTTATTGGTAAATTCAGGCTTTGATCGCGCAAGTTTAAGGGCTTGACTTTTTGGCCAAAACCCTCACCTGACAAGAGGAAAGTTGTGGCATCAAATCCTCTAAGTTTTCTTTATTGTGAAAAAGCAAATGCATAAACCCAAAAAAAAAAAAAAAAGTCTACAAAGCAAGTGTTAAAATGGGTATGTTAAAGTAAATAGAGAAAGCAAGAAAAGACAAATCATTAGGACCGACCACATTTTTGAAGAGTATAACTATTAAAATTCTAGAGAAGCTTTAAGATATTCTGGTTTGTGAGATGTTGTGAATTAGAATAGAAGCAAACTCTTTTGTTATGTTTAATCTTCAAATTCTCTAAACTCACATGATTTTCAAAACGTTTTAATGTGAAATTTTTAATTTAAATTAAGAGGTTATGAACACAAAAGATAAAAAAAGTTGTGGGGAGATAACTTCATATATATAGAGTAGTAATTCAAACCGTCTTTCATTATTGAAAGATAAGACTTTTTCTTCTTTTTTTGAAGAGGGTAAAATGAATTTCTCATGTTGAAAAATGAAACTAAGTGTGAGGGTTATCAAAAGAAAGAAGAGATCATTCTTTTATGACCTTATAGTTTGTAAATATCTTTGCATTACATCAATTATTCCATCTGCATGCACCTTTTAGAAATAAATATTGTTCATGAAAGTGCCGAATAACTTGTACAATAGGAGTTATCTTCCTCATATGAAGAGCTTGATTTTTATTATACCATATCAAATGAAGAAGAATGTAAATGCATTCTAGAGTTTAAATCTCCTTATTTTGGATTAGAGATTTAGAAATTTATAGAATCCAAAAAACAAGACCACAGCTAAAGATGTTTAAGGAACATATGGACAATGACCCAAACTATATGTCTCTTGAGTAGGAACAATCACAAAAAGTGTGATGTAAAGTACTTAGTGAATTACAGTCAAACGCACACCAGAGCGAAGAATTGAGATAATGCTTGCATAAGATATCTTCAGTAGGCATGGCCTCATGAACTAATTTCCAAATGAAGAGAAGATTTTTATATGGTGAATGGTGTTTTCAAAGAAAATTCCAAATTTTCTCTTTTGCAAGGGGATTATCTTGAAGGCTATAGGAGAGTCTAGGAAAACTATATCTAACAAAGTAGGAACTAGAGCCCCAAATTAAACAATCAGTTTGATTGGTAAAAGGAAGGAGGGTCCTTAAAATTAAGCTAGCCTCCTCCCTACCATAGAGATTATTAATGAGTGAAACATTCTATTTGGCAACCATCGATAGTGTTGGGTTGGTGATGATTAAATTAAAATCCTTAGAAATATTCAAGTCACGAGCAAGATCTCTATTTTTGAACTTCCACCAAGACTCACCTTTCCCTACATGACAAGTGAGGCACTTTTTAATCAAATTAGAAGCTTTGAAAATACATTAAGAGGCATTATGAGATATCTTATAAAGGAGCCATTGGTATTATGAAAATACTTCATTCTGATTGTGTTGCCCAAAAGTGAGTGTTCCTCAACATTTAAAACTCCCCACATTTACTTAGCTAGTAAAGCTAATTCATATTTTTGGAGTTCATCAAACCAAGCCCACCATCTTTAATAGGAGAGAAAATGATTTCTTTCTTAATAAGATGAATATTCCTTTTATCATCATTATAATCCCAAAAGAAATCAACAAGTTTAGCGTCAATGGAGTCACAAAGAAGTTGAGGAATCTTAACACAAGAAAGAGTGTAGATGTTAGATGCAGATAAAACTGATTTGATGAGAGTGAGTCTAGAAGCTTGTGAGAGCAATTTGAGCTTCCAAGAGGCATTTCTCTTCTCAATGAAATATATGATATGGGCAAAAATTAATGATTTATCTCTTTTAACATCAATCCAAGTACTTAAAAAAGCAGAGGGTTGAATACCCAATTGATCAATAAGTTTTTCTTGAATCTCAGTTGAGTAGTTAGTATAACATTTCAATTTTTATTCTAAGAATTTAAAAAATTTTAAAATACAAAATAAGTAAATTGAGATTAGATATAACTTAATATTTTTTGAGATATAGAGGCACATAGGTTTGTAATTTTAATTAAATGGGACATGAAATTAGGGAAAATCTTGATCTAGATAAGTAGAGTTTAATTATATTTTTAAAGCATCAAATTATTATTTTATGAAAAAGAAGAAAATAAATTTATTAAAAGTAATAAATATTTATTATTAAATTTAATATATTTTATTATAAAATTATTTGAGTAAAAATAATTTTATTCAAGAGGGGTTATATATTTTAAGTGAGGATTAAATAATAATATGTAAATTATTTTTCATTTAAGAAACTATAATCATATAAATATGAAAAAAAAAATCTTGTTTGAGTATAGTAAACTAGCTAGTGGAGCTTAATTTAGAGATATTAATATAATCTTAAAAAATGGTATAATATATAGAATAGATATATATAATCCAAAAATAAATTTTTAAAGATTGTTGAAAGAAAAAAGACAGAAGTTTTTTTTTTGACTTAAAAAACAAAAAAAAAAAAAAAGAAGGAAGAGGAGTGGATGCACGTGGCATAATACCCTATTCTTTGATCTTTCGGTCCTTCTATTCCTCCCAACCCATTGCACGATTTCTTCCTCTTCATCATCTGTGCGCGGCGCAAACAGTGGCAGGAGGGGGGAGTGACTGACCAAGAGGGAGTGATTTCTCGAAGGAGACTTTATAATAGGATACTCTAAAAATAATTTTAAACATTCTAAAACTATATATCCTAAACATTTTTTTAACTATTTTCTTTTATTTTTTTTCAGAATTTTTGACAGAAATTTTTTTAGGATTTGTTAGATTTTGAATTTTGAATATTTTTGTTAACTATTTAGTTGTTAATAAAGCTAATGATTTTAGAATAAGAGTTTGTATGATTTAAATTTGTCCAAATAATTGATTTGAGGAATCAAAGTCAGGTTTTAATTGAGAAGATAAATTATTTACAAATACAGTGGTGGTTTATTTCAAATTTAATGGATTGATTATGTTTATTGGAGGTTATATTGAGGATTAATCAGTTTAACTTGATGGTCGAGATTGAAATGCACAAAATGAATATTTTGAATATAGCATTAAGTGTAGAAAATTTGTAATTTGAGGCTCATAGGTTAAATCTTAGACTTATGTGGCTAAGATTTTCATAAAGCTGAATTTTGAAGGTGATGAATAGAAATTTATTTGAGTATAGAAAAATATTCATAAGATATTGAAATGATAATTTGAAATTTGGGTCAAGCTTTAGATTTTTTTAGATTTATTAAGTTCAAAAATTAAGGTTTTTAAGATATTAATTATGATAATTGGAGATTAAATGAGTGCATTAGAAGTGAATTAATGATGGAGATGATTAAGTTTTAAGATTTAAAGTGTATGGAAGGGTGTTGGATTAAGGAGATTAATTAACCTAACCTTAAAATTAGTGTTTAATCACAAGTACTAATTATGTTTGACATTATCATGTATGTATATTGTAATATTGGTAATCATTTTGGTGAAGACTCATGTGTATGGAGAAGTTCAATTGCTAGGGACAAAAAGTAACCTTTACTATTTTATTGTGGTATGTGTTTTGTAATTAATTATGTGTATATTTTGTTGCAAATAAATGTTGTTTAGGAAAATACATGTTTGGAAATGAATATTGTAGTTTGAAAAATGTGCTGCTTGTAGGATGAAAATCTTATATAGACTTATGTTTGGTATGAAACTATTATATTTAGAAGTATGTATTAATGTTTGGAATTTATAACTATTTGGAAATCATTATATGCAAGACTTGTTCAATTTTGGGAGATTAAGTGGGAGTTTATTGTTTGGAAACAAATTATGCCACGTGATACGCCCTCATCTAATTCATGAGTGGCACTTTATCACTTGAACTAGCTTACATTTAGTTGTGTGAGTCAGGTATCAAGCATGGGCTTCGGTCTCAAAGAAAAGGGGAGATAAGGCGATGGCCTTGCATATTTTGTTTGGTTATATTTGTTTGAAATGTGTTTGGATTAAATTATTTGAAATTTGTTTTACATACCCTACTTAGCACCCACATGACTAGTTGCATGACATGCATTATGGCATAGTCATTTTAGTTAGTAGGACCTTTCTATCTCATTTCCTATTATTAATATTTTTATAAGAGCGGATCTAGCTGCAGAAGCATCAGAGACTTAGAGTTGGTTTATGAAACACCAATTTATGTTGTCATGCCTCATTTTGTGATTTAATGTATATTTGCCAACTTACAAAAATTTTAAATATAATTGAGCATATAGACTCTAGTTTTTGATAGACTTAACATATAGTGGCGAAGGGAGGGGGGACTAGCAGGGGCCGTGGCTTCTCTAATTTTTTTTA